AAAACGTGGCCTGATAAAGTCGATTGGTGATGGGTAATGGATGCACATCCAAGGGGATCTGCTCACAAACAAAGCTTAATTGATCTCAATAACTCCAGAAAATACTTGGAATGTGGAAATGGTGAATGACCTCTTTCCCCACTGTGGAAGCTTCTAAAATTCTAGAAATGCCTATTGGAGGAGTTGAAGACAAGCTCATATGGGCGTACACAGACAATGGAGCATACACGGTCAAGAGTGGTCATTGGTTATCCGTAAACTACCCCATTCTACAACCTTGTCCTTCAAGCCCAGATACTTTGCATCGGATTGAGCTAAAACGCAGGGCTTGGAAGATCCCAACTTTGCCTAAAATCAAGATGTTTATGGGGAAAATATTATCCGGAGCTCTTGCAGTGGCAGATAGACTTACCTCACGCGGTTTAGTTATGGATACGACATGTAAACTATGTGGAAGAGATACGGAAAAGATTAACCATGTTGTTTTCCAATGTGATGCTGCGACACAAATATGGGATGGTGCTGGACTTCCCTCCCCACATAATGGCTTCGGTGACTCCCTGGAAGGTAATATGGTATATGTTCTCAATCTAGTAGATTCTAAGGAACCATCGTTGAGTAATTTGGACTCGGTTCCCTGGATCTTATGGCTGATATGGAAGAATCGAAATGCAACTCTCATGGCTGGGATACAAGAATCTGCTAATGTAGTAGTGCAACGAGGCATGGAAAGAAGTGCACGAAGTTAAACAGAGGACTCTTCCCGGACATGAAACAGAGCATAGATGGCACAAACCAGAGCCGAACATAGTCAAATGCAACGTTAATGGCAATTGGATGAATTCCAAGCCACATTGTGGAGGTGCTTGGATAGCTTGTGATCATCATGGATCAGTTTTATTCCACTCAAGAGAGGCTTTCACATGCTCCCACAACAGAATCATTGCAGAGTTTCGGGTGATGAAAAGTCTGAGAGATCTCCGTGTTCCGAAGGTAGTGATCGCATCGGACTGCTCTGCTGTACTCGCAGCCCTTCTAAAACCAGGTGACAATGGCCACGATACCGTATGTTCACTGAGTACATCCACAAAATGAAAGAAAAGAGTTCGGAGCTATTCCTTCGAGTTGGAGTCGACCAAGGCTAACTCGAAAGCAAGAGTCATTTCCCAAAGTGTGTTGCGAGATGGACGTTTTAGTTCGTATGTACTATGTAGCACGAGGCGGACCGGCATGGTTGCATAATCTAACTAATTCTGAGGCTTGTTGACAACATATATTATGCCCTTGTCATTGGGTGAGATGTCTGTTCTCAAGCTATTTATGTTGTTATTTCTTTGATCAACATTTGTTTTGGCCTTTGCTTTTCGTGTTTACACGAATATAATAAAACCACAGACGTTTAGTGAATTACAAATCTCTTTATCATAATCCTCCCACATCTAACGCTCTCATCAAAGTCACCACCATTAAGATCACCTTCACCGATAAAACCATATTCAATCATTCCTTCCTTATTTAAATATTTGCTTCTCTAATCAAAATATATAGCGCTCACAAAGAAGATAACTAATTTGTTTTGCAATCAATCCGAGGATTAATCACTTTGAATTATGATGAATGTTGTTAAACATTATTTATCATCATATATCACACACGAACTCAAATCCCTCAAAATCCATCTGATTGTCTACAACTTCCATAGAACTCGCCATCTTAATCAAACCTTTACCTCTTCGCAAACTCATTTCCTCAACTCCACCTAGGTATACTTCTCTCGCCATCTCCAAACTCTTCTCTAACTCATCCACAAACCAATTCATGTCCTTGTACTTTTCTTGCAAGGCAAGATTCGGATCCATCAA